AAGAAGAAGAAGAAGAAGAAGAAGAAGAAGAAGAAGAAGAAGAAGAAGAAGAAGAAGAAGAAGAAGAAAGTGGGGAGGAAGAAGGGAAGGAAGGAAGGAAGCAGGAGATCAAATATTAAAAGTGGAAGGCAGGGATTTATACATTTTCCCCTTGGAAAATCAGAAGCTGGTGAACAATGCTTCCCAAGGGCTTATTAGTATGCCTTGAACCTATTCCTTCTCTAAGGGGCATGTACTGAAGCACACCAATGCATGTGCAAGCAAAAAGACATGTATGCCCCAGGGATGAATCTGAATTGGAACGGGGACAGATTCCACCAAAGTGTCAGAGTCACAGACCCAAGTAAGAGGAGAGGAAATCAAAAGTATTTCCAAGCATGAGTAGTGAACCCAAAAGCTCTTCTCAGCACTTTTCACACATCTGGCACAAAAGTTACGCTTCCCTCTCCCCCCTCCCCCTCTTCTAAAATCCAGTCATTGTCCTCCTGGCCCCATAAATGTTCTTAGCTTCCTTTTGCTCTACTCGTCCAATCTTGAAGAACAAAAAAACTTACCAAAAGACACGTAGCTTGGCCCAGATAAACGGAAGGCAGCAAGACCTGATCCTTTGCCACATTCAGAACATCTGGCAAGTTGGGAGGACCATGGCATTCACCCCTTCAGGTGCCGTAACTAATAGGATGCAGTCGTTCGCTGCCTTCCCTTGCAGCTAAGAGAACTTGTAACCCAGGGAAAAGGCATTTTGAAAGTCTCCCCACCCGTCACACCCATGCAACTTTCTGCCAAAGGTGAGTGAACTTTTCCTCAATCAGAGCCTCTTGGCTGCTTGTCAACAGGAAGACTCGTGATTCTATCTTCTTGGTCCAAAAAATGCCACAGGCAGAAAAAGCCATTCCTCTTCTGAACGTTTTTCTTAAATTAACCTGAATGCCAATTATTGCCAAAGACATTTTCCCCCCATGGTGACAAAATGAAAGGACACGTAGTCTTCTCCCTGGGAGGCTTATTTCCTCTTCTCTTTTAAGATGCTCCAGGACAAAACGCTAGATTTCATTTTGCAAAAAATATCTCCATTTCTTTAGATGCAGGCTCTCTCTTTCTATCATCTTTCTAGCTCTACTTCTGATAACTCAGGGGGTAAAAATTCGAATTCATTGACGGCGGCATCAAGATTGTGGTTGACCTTGGGGTCCTGGGGTGGGAATGGCCAGGGTGGGCATGGCTAGCTCGACATCACTCATGTTGGGGGGGTTGATTGTGTGGCCCGAATGCTCTGCCAGCGAAAACATGCTTCCGAGCTTCGTTTTCAGCTATGACAGCCTCCTGCAACGCCTTCCCAGTGAAAATGGAGTTTGGGAGGGCTGCCCGCGGCTCTCCCAAGGACCATTTTCACTGGCAGAGGCACTGCGGGCCCATCCTTCGCTGTTTCCATGATGGCCCCGCAGGCCAGATCTG